TCTGCCCCCCCCGCCCAAAAAAAAAACCCGCTTCAAATCGCTTTAAACTATTGTCATTGTAGCGCGTATTTAATGTGGCGCTGCACTCTGATGTTGTAGGAGTAAACATTTATTAAAAAGTCTATTTAATTAAGTAGAACGTGTTGTCTGTATTTAAAGTTGCGCATTTTGATGTGACGTCACATTTCTCAAACCTCTGACTCCCCCCCCTAGGTGCGTGACGTAATTTATGGACGGCCCCTAATGAGTAGCTTGTCCATTATAATGTTTGAAATCACGCGACGCATCCACACATAACTGCTGGTAGTGGCCGCACCTCCGATTAGCACGGTTGGCTACGTACGGTGCGAAAAAACGTTCAACATACGTTACACGTAAGCAGAGGGCCCACTCTGGACGAGCAGCACCTCCAATGTTGGTCTGGCATTGACACGTTCCACTCTGAGACTCTCAGCTCAGAAGGCTGCTGGCTGGAGCGTGCAAGGGGAGGGTGCCCTCTGCTGTTATCGGCCAGCTATTACGAGTTCACCCGCATGAAGTTTGCAAAGCTGAATGGAGTTCAAGAGAATTCACAAACACCTTGTGAAAGATTCAAGTGCAGAAGATCCCTCTGGGTTTGATCTTCCACGAAGCTCGTGGTCCACCCTAAACCGTATCCACTGCACAAACCGTGACAGATGCGGTTACCTGATGATGCACAAATGGAAAATTAAAAACTCTCCAGCAGCAGTGTGCGACTGTGGTCATCCAGACTAGACCGTAACAGCTTATAACGACGCAATGCCCCGATCCACAAATACGAAGGAGACATCACAGCCATGATGATACACTCCGCTACTGCTCCTGGCGCTGTGGTTATCTGGGGCTTGACCACCCGAATGTCAAATTGTAGTCGTTGCTTTGCATCTACGTCAGCCGTACGAAATATTAAGAAGGTATTATCATGGCCTTTAAACTAAACGTGTTACTTTACCAGGTAAGGCCCACTGAGCTATATGGCTCTTTTTCAGAAGCGACCTGGCCACAAAAGACTTCACTTCCTTTGCTGGAGACGTCGAAGCTGATGCGGAGCAAGCCGCGTCTCTGTTAGAGGGTGGAATTTGGTGGTGCTGTGAAAAGACCCCCGGATTATAATTGTCTAAAGAGGTTGAGTTTTAATTCCTCTAGTGGTGGTTCACAGTACTTAAAATTAACATCAATTAAAGTTAAAGGCGCGGCCCTGCAATTTCACCGTTCGCGTCACTCTTCTACACTGGACAGATATCTTGTAAGAAGTGGGAGTACCCACGCTTTCCCCCACCACCACCACACGTCACTTGCCGATCAACTCGACTGGGCAGCATCAAAACAAAAGGGGTGTTTGTCAATGACGTAGTTCTACACTTGCTGTGTATAACTTTGTCAATGACGTAGTTCCACACTTGCTGTGTATAACATCGTGGGAATTAAATTGTTAAGATGTGTCGAGTTGCCTAATTAACGAGTACACGCGTAAGGAATGAGGTTTCCCGGGGGCACAGGTCAGTGATGGTCAGCGGAGACCATGCCAAGCTACTCTTCCAATCTAAGTTACATTCATTCCATTTGTTAGCCTGGCCGCGGCTAATTAGGGCATTTTGCCCCACCTGCAGGAGTTACAATTGAAAAGTGTGCAGCTCTCACGATGCATTAGTGTAATTGGTACTTAGTTTAATTTCCTCGGTTGGATTGTGCCAAAGAACACAACTTTCCAATTCATTGCACAATACAGCAATGATATATGTTTTGCTAGACGGTGCTGCAGCACCTACGATGCTTGGTCAAGTCTATAAATGACTGTTTGGAATGTCTGCAAGTGAACTGGAGGAGCTGGCAAACAAATAATCCACACATACAAGGGGATTCACATTCAAACCTCAGCACTGATAGATGCATGCGTTCCTTGCTGTAATGTCATCTGGCAAATTTCACTTCGAAACATTTAACATCTGGCATTCTCAAGAGCCAACCTTCACGATCAAAAACCTTCATCCATGGTGCACATATGAGTAAGTCCAATAATATTTTTTCTGTTGTACAGTCAACCAGTTGTATTTATTTATTTATTTCTAACATAGTTTCTGAGCCACAGGCACACAGCGTCGAACGGCCAGCAACAACGCAGCACTTCTTACGTTCGAGCAAGGTTAAAGGGCTTGTGGAAGCAGACGATGGGAGGGAATTCCAACTCAAGAGGAAGAGAATCATTCTGCCCTGCAGCGTGGGTGGTTGAACACAGCGCGGGCGAGATGAAAGCCAGGCACGGGTAGTAGATGCGTTACAAAAATTGGGCGTAGCAAATTGAAACCGCTCAGCATGGGCCGCATAGAAACCCAACCCGCAATGCTGCCTGCCGAGTAGCACACACAGCACACACGCAGTACACACAACACACAGTACACACAGTACACACACCGCACACACATAGTACGCACACAATATACACCCAGTAGGCACACAGTGCGGTGTGTCTCTGTGTTGGAGAGCGGTAGTGCACTGCGCGCGAGTTCGATTCCCGCTCACGTGGCGAATATTTGAACCGGTCGACTGAGCCTCAAACGAGAACCTGGTGCGGTGCGTAAACATCGCCACTAGGGAGACAAAGGCGGCCGGGCGTGGTGCTGACCACCCATCCCCTCGTGTGCCGTGCCGACCTTCATAAGTGCTAACAATACTAGCCCCTACAGTCTGTCTCTGTGCGTGTCTTAGTGTGTCTGTGGGTGTCTTAGTGTGTCTGTGGGTGTCTTAGTGTGTCCGTGGGTATCTTAGTGTGTCCGTGGGTAGCTTAGTGTGTCCACGCATTGGAAGCATGAAACTGAACGCAATAATCCATGCATGCAATGTTGCACACAAATGTTTTCCCCATGATAGATCTAACAACCACGCTCTCATACGACCACCAGACGGCGCTCCCTCACTGTTCAGTCGGTCTCAGTTTAACTCAAGAGTCAGAACCACAAGGGGCCATTTCATATTCGCACACAAGCACCAAGATTCCCCCCTTAAAGCCATTGACAGGCTGTCTGGGGGCTGTTCGCGAGTGTGTGTGGCCAACACCAGGCCCGATCACCTTCGTGTCCCCAGCTGATGTATGCACACCGCACCGGGGATTAATCCTGAGTCGAGATGAATATCTTGAGCGGTTCATATATTCACGACTTCTTTGGTTCTTTCGTTAAAGTCACGTAGAATGAGAATAAAATAATAAAATAATAAAATAAAATAACACAATAAAATTCTCACGACGTTTCGGCCACAACACAGGTGGCCTTCATACGTGACTTTACCGAAAGAACCAAAGAAGATGAATCCTTGCAGTCACGAAAGCTTTAAATCGAAAAAATAGTCACGACTAGTAGATCATGAGCGGGGATCGAACGCGGGTCGGCGTGTGCGTAGCGCCGCGCGAAACTCGCTGCACTGCCGCTAGCCCGTGCCGCCTTCACAGACTGTTGGGGCAAGTGCTGTGAGCGAGTAGCACCAATGAAGCCCACACACACACACACAGACACCCCCCCCCCCCTCCATTCACGAGCACATGTGCGTGCAATGACATGCAGAGTCTTCATGCCAGACACGTGTGAAGTAACGCATGAAATAAACGTGTTCATGCATTGCAAAGTATAAACACAACGTTTGTTATACAAATGTGAGCAAGAGCTGTACAGCTCATCGGATTCATGCAGTGTTTGTAAATATTCTGATTCTGACGCATTCTAACAATGGTACAGGTAAAGATGAAAGTCTGACGTTGTTTGCGCATGGAGCCTCCACTCGAGAGAGCTCTGCTCAGGTGCAGGCAGACCTCGCTTAGCGCACAAGATGACTTCCCGGAGAAGTGAGCGCTAGTCGAATCAGCGCTACAAATTGGGCCATTATAGGCACCGCAAACATGGAGTTGTATTACTTCTTACGTATGAGCAGAGCTAATAATAATACAGATGGTAACGATTTTTTTTATTTTCTGTAATTAAAACGATTATTATTATCATAACATCAGTGCGCGCTAGGGTAATTGGGCCATTCATCCAGCCTGGCCACAGATGTGTCGAAGGAGGGAGAATACCCACACTGTACCTCACCGCACCACACAAACGCACATACACCAATACACAGACACGCACAGACATCAATACACACACACGCACAGACATCAATACACAGACACGCACAGACATCAATACACAGACACGCACAGACACGCACAGACACACTGCCGCAGTTACATTCAGCATATCTGATTTGGGCCTCAGCTATTGCAATGTCTAACCTTTGAATGTTCGCACCGCACAGGCGTACACTATCGAATGTCCATTTACACGACACAAACAAGAACACCAACAATAATAGCCATTCACCAACTAAATGTGGTGACGTTATACGACTTCGCTCGTGCCACGCTCGGCTTGGTGCCAGGCTAGGTGTACTTTGAAGTGTCGAAGGCGCGTTGGGCTGGTCACAAAGACAGACCCCAGGTGTTGCATAAACATCACAAACACCAATCGTCAATCACCACCACCAATTACCACGCTTGTGCCCAGGCTAGACTTGGGTATCCAGGATAGCTGCACTTTGAAGTGTCGAAGGCGCGTTGGCAGAACACGAGGTCACGAGCCTGACCCAGGTGCGTTAACCGACTTGAGATGACTGGCAGACACAGACAACCACGTGTGCCCCCCCCCCCCCCCCACTCTGTGCCACCTGTGAATCCGTGATCAACCCGTCCCGGAGATGTTTGTCACTTTATTTTTGACGAGATGCCGAAAGCAAAATCGTTACAGCACCGACCTCGTCACGCGCTGCTCGCGAGACGCGCACGGCCGCTGGGCCAAGCGCAGTGGGCGAGGCGAAAACCCCCACGGCTTCTGCGTAAAGAGCGCGCGATGGAACAGCCGACTTTTACGCACAGCTTATCCCCGCAGTGACGCGCGCTGCAGATGAAAGATTCCATCAATCTTTGGGGCGGAAGTGGGGCTAGGGGGATGGTTGAGGCAAGAGCAAACACAAGCAACAACCACAGCCACCACCATCACCACCACCTCGCTGAGCCCCCTGTACTTCCTCCATTCCTCTCGCTCCCCTCCCAATCCTCACTCCAAGGGTCTTTTTGTGCCAAGACGAGACTCGTCCAACCGCGCAGGGCGGCGTGCGTGCGCGCTCCAACCCGCCCCTATAGAGTGGTGGAGGCGCATGCATGTGTGCAAACAGCCTCAGCACCCTCCCCTATAATTCGGCACTTGGGGTTGCACTATCGCAGTCACGGGGCTAAGCTGGTGGCACATGGATGCTCGGTACCACGAGAACGCACACGACTAGTAGAGCGAGAGAGAGAGAGAGAGGAAATGTGCTGGACGTGCTGAGAGATAGGACACACACACACCACACGCCACTCGCTCTCACACGCCCAGCCGGGACGAGAAGTCCAGCAGCGCACGTGTTCAACAAACTTCTCCCCACGCGTCCAGACAGCCCAAGGCGTGCTTGAAGACATCAGCATCAGCAACAGCAGCAACAGCAGCAGCAACATGACAATGTATTCATAAGCACGCGCGCATAACTCCACAAAAGTTGCAAACGAATAAAAGCATTTTTTTTGTTCTTACAAAATCAATTCTAACGAGGATTTCTCCCCGCCAGACACACTGCTATGGTGATCCATGTCCTGCTTGTGATGGTGATGGCCGTACTAGCGGGGTCTGCTGTTCACAGAGGTGAGTCTCAGGGAGCGCATCATCGGGACACTCCGGCACGTGGCAATTGCAACGATGATCACCAAACACCTCGGGGTATATTGGCTTTCTTTAACAACAAAAACAACAACAATACCATCCAGCAACATTTGTGCACGCATGCAAAGTCTCGTCGGCAACAAATGGTGCCCTGAGTACGTTTTTGCAAAGAGAAAGCCGATGCGTGAACCCACGCGGCAGCGTTGCAATAAACCTAATTCTGCTGATATTCCGAATGTCGGGTTTGCTTGCTTAAGCAACAAATGCTGTTGGACAATGTTGTCCCGTGAAGTCAATAGGCCGACGTGACTAAAACATACGTTTATTTAGCTCTGCAGACACAGAATGGTATGCCGCCTATATTTCATTTTTCTTATAACGTTCTACAACCACGCGTATTCGGATTGTAGACACATATCACTGAATGCATAACAATGTATAAGATGTTTGCATTAGTGAACATGCATATATAAAATATCGGGTTAATGTAACATAGACAGAGCATGGTGCATACAGTACAACACTACATTTTTTCCGCACTCTCGTCTGCTGGGGTTGTTTTATACTGCCAGCTGAGTAAGGAGGATCGTGACGTTTTGGTCGACTGACCTTTTTCAGGACATATTGAGGTTGCTACAGAGAGTGTTGCACAGTCTTGCTAAGTGAAGATTGGTTGGTGGCAGCCGTCGGGTTACAGACTCGCTGGGGTGTGAGCAACGAGGCTATAGGGCTTGACAACAAGGCTTGGAATGCGTTCCAGAAGTAAATATGCAGATTTTCTAATGCAGGGAGACAAGCGTGACTTGAGCGACTGCTGTCAATTCTAGTGATGTTCTAGAAGGGCTGGAAACCACGGTTTTAAAATTAACATCTCCCCCTCCACTCACGACAACCCCCCCCCCCCCCCCCCCACCGAGAGGCTTGGTTAGTTTCACTCACAGGGAAGTGCCAACCTCAACTCATAGATTGCTTTAATTCTCACGAGAAATACAAATATACAATCTACAATCGTCAGTGAATCGGGTAACTCGCATAACTTGGGATGTTTATGCGACGAAAATCTGATCGAAAGTGGAAGTAGGTTCCTAACTTGAAGAGCATATGCCGGACACGCGAATATTAGCTGGGTGAGTGGTGGCTATGCACGTCCGTGAGACCCAGAACTGTGGAGAGCAGCGAGGGTTGGTGGGAGCTTGCCATACTGTGAACAAATCTCCATCTGGCCCTAGAGCGTTGCGTCCTCAGAAGCGTGGGTTTCTCCCTGCGTGTATAACAGACTCATTATTTGGACGAATATATCTTAATCGAGGACTGCAGAGCTTGGGCAATTGTTGACGCCGACTCACGGCGTGGTGGTTCCCCCTCGCCCCTCCAAGGCATTCTCTCTGCCTTCGAGAGCGAGCGAATACTAAAGATATTGGTTTTGTGAGTGCTTCCAAGTTGTAAAAAACAACTCGTGAGCACACATGGAGGGTGGCGTGAAGCTTGACTTGGCCTGAAGTTTGCAGATATAACCGGAGAAGCATGTTCTGATTATCTAAGTCGTTTTTCTATTAGTCAATTGATCTCTTGACTTTCCAGATCGATATCCAGCATAATTTGTTTAAGCAAGGAAACTCTGGATCAGTTTCGACCCTCTGGGTCTCCACAAAAAAACCTATATTGTGGATATTGGTCACGAACGCCTACGTGTTAAACTGTCTGAGTCTCATCAGTAGAGTCGGGCTTCTTAAACAGATGCTGCTAGGTTCTCAGATGTTTATTTGGACAGAGCAAGAACCCAAAACAATTCCGTTCTATTCAATGCAAAAAAGCAATCTTGTATATCAACTCATAATGCATTGTTGTAGAGTATCGTGATTCAAAGCACATTTAAGCAAACTTCCTCCCGTCTCCAAATAAAACATATTGTTATATTTGAGGATTTTTTTTCCTCCCAGTGTGCTAGCATAAAAACCAGGCGTGTATTCCAAACACGCGGAGCGGAGTGAATGTTGGGAATGCGAACCGCTGTTGTTTGCCAAGAGCTCCATCGCAGCCAACTCCATGCTCCGTGCATGAACCGTGCCGCGTGTTCGCAGCTCCCGACTACTGAGCCAACACGAACGGCAACCTCCACTGGTTCGGGGTTCAGCCACTCGTGATTAAACCGCGTAGCCAGAGGGGTTAACGACATCAACTCAGGTGGTACGGTACGCTCAGGTGTCGCCCCAATATTTGATTCGTCTCGCACGGTCGAACCCATGGCTATTCTACACCGCGGCTCTTCTTGCCTAATCACGTCGTTGTGCTCACGGTCTCGAACATTTAACGCTGTAGGGGCGCTCCGTCTTCGCAAAAATGAGCGTTGTTGATGTTCTTGAAAACAGATCTCACGGTGGTTGGCCACCAGGGGGTGGTCACGGCACCTCCCCGTGCCTGCTCCACGCTCGCGACGCCACTGGCACACAAAACACGCATCGCGTTTACATTGCGGGGTCGTCACTTAATCTGGCGCAAAAAAAAAAGATCCATCTCTGAGATTCTTTAACATTTGATTGACATGCGAGCGACGCTCTTTGCAGAGCGGACAAAGTGGTGTGCCTCGAGTCGTGTGGATACAAGAGACCCGAACGACTTCAGAAGTAGTTACATAGTGTCTTCTTCCAGACCCGCTGCGCAGATACCGAGTTTCACGCTCGGTAGCTGCGGCTCGTGACTCAACGCTGGAAGCACAATTGGAACATAATTAAGATTTCAAAACGTATATTTGTGTATACGTCTCACAGCGCGGATGACAGTTACCGATTGCACGGAAAACCTTCCCCCTGCAACGATGATAGCTGCCAGTCGCGTCCGCTTACACAAAGTCGCCCCTTGAAGTTGCAATGATGATGATGATGACGATAACGGGGAAGTGCCTTCGTTGTGAGGGTTAGCACACTGGACTTGCAATGCTGGGATCACCTGTCCGATCTCCCGGGCACGGCAGTTGAAACAATGGTGCAATATTCAAAAAACCCCTTGACTCTGTCCACCCAGCAGGTCGGTCTAACTGAGCACTCCACAGTTGTGTGGCAGGTCGCGTGCGGCGGGGTTAAAAACGTGGGTAACTCCCGCCTCTCACAAGACGTCTGGCCAGATGTCTCGGAAGAGTAGGCCGACAGATTGTCGAGAGCACCCTCTGCTTGTATATTATGATAATGTTCAACTCGTCGCTCGAGTAGAGAGCGACTCAGAGGCGCGAGTCGGCGGCTCAGAGAGGCGGGGAGGCAGGCGCCACGCGGCGGTGAGCTGGCGTCAACTCTCGCCCGAGCTCTGCGGTCCTCTACGTACGAAGACGTTACAGACAGATGAATGAGCGCCGCATTTACATGTGGGAGGACACTTGAGCACCCGTTCCGCCAGCAGTGGCGTGAGCAAAGCAATTGCAGGACTGCATATTTACGCATCGATTGATAATAATGACGATGATACCTAAAGCGCCACAGCCTTCAGCACTGTCACACAGCTCGAGACGCAAATGAGCCCAAGTTCGTGTTGATGGTGCCAGCGCCCGATCATCACGGGAGAGATTTGAGACAGAGGGCGCTGGGGTTGGTACGACGCCGCGTGTCACGACCTTCGGGTCCTCGTGTCTCTCGAGTCACCGACGATTAAAGCGGGGTGGGACGCTCATTCACGACACGAGGAGAAATGAAGCGACGCAACTGCATCGGGCCGTGGGGGGGGGGGAGTTTGAGGCACGGACACTCAACGCGCGGGCGGTTACGCGCAAGTGGAGAACGATTTTACTTAAAAATATGAACTCCACCGATACGATTCGTGCACCGCATTACCCCGTGACTAGGGGATTTGGGTGCTTATTTGCACGTGAAGTTTTAAAGCACGTCTCGCCAGTGTGTGTTGTCGAGATTGTCGTTGGGGAGCGGTGGCGCAGTGGTTAGCGCGCTGCGCTACAAACCACGTGACCCACGTTCCATTCCCGCAATGCGACCAATGACAGCGGCAGCGAATATTCGAACCGGTCCTGGGATTCTCTCCTAGGTCGACTCAGCATTAAACGAGTATCTGGTGGGGTGTGTAAATATCAGCGCTCGGGAGACAAATGCGGCCGTGCATTGGTGTCGGTCACCCACCCCCATCGAGTGCATTTCCGACCTTAATAGGTGCTCGCTAACAGCACTATCTTGCAGTGTATACTTGTGATACATATTTGCACCTGTGCCAAGTTGGTTGAGTTTACGCACAGATAATGTTTACTGAAGCACGTTAACAAAAGGAAAATCACAAGTTCAGTTAATGTACGCACACGATGGAGCGGTGGTGCAGCGGTTAGCGCACTGTGCTGCAAACTCGTCCACCCGAGTTTGACTTCGGGCCGCGGCTAACATCAGTGGCGAGTAGGAACTGAACCGCTCCTCGTTCTCTCCCTTAACTGTCTCCCCCCCCCCCTTCTCCATTTAAAAACCCGCATCGACCGACGTGGTGAAGTATGGTCAAACAACCCCCACGACCCACGAGTCATCCACCAGTGAATTGACACGTGTCTTTAAATGAGTATAAGAACAAAAAAAACATCGATTTGAAACGGAAGCAAATTGGCATGTAAGCGTTAGGCAACCGTGTTTGCCTAACGCTTTAATTAATATTGCAGCAGCAAGGAAACGCGAGTCGCGTTTGAAAGTTAACCTGCTGACAAGAACAGCAACAGCAAGGGTGACGGATTCCAGATTTATTCGATGGCCTTGCACCAATCGGACGAGGGTGGAGGAGGGTGAAACAGTGTGCGTACCATTTATAACCCGAGTCGAGTCCAAAAGCGTGAATTACCGTGAGAGGAAATAAAAAATTATATTTATAACTTTCACTCCAAATCTTATTTCCGTGGAACACGCGCCCTGTGATGCAGCAACAGCTCAGCAGAAGCTATCGCCTCGGCCGATGCCTCTCTCCACCCTACTTCTTCTTCTTCCCACTCCTCTCACACTCTTTCTATCCGGCTCGATCAAGCGAGGTATGTGAGGGGGCCGGCGGCGGGGGCTGCTGACGGCTGCACGGCGAGTCCGCCTGTGCCGCAGCTTACTTTATTGTGACGTTCTCCTAACAATTACAAAATTGTAACGGCGGTAAACACCTGGGACGCTCTCGCGGTGCACGGCACATCGGTTGTGAAGAGCTGGCCAGGGGGCTTCGTGGTGTAGCCATCGAGGGTGCAGACGATGCGACTGCGTAGGCACGGAGCACCCATACATTCTTGATTTGAAGCTTTCGCGACTGCAGGAATCCATACTCTTGGATTCTTTCGGTAAAGTCACGTAGATGGAAAATTAATAGATCACGACGTTTCGATCGCAACACAAGCAATCGTCATCAGGCGAGACAAACAGAGCAGGGGAACTGCTGACCCATACATTCTTGCCCACGGATAACATTAGCAACCAGTGATACCATTGTGGTGAAGCAAGGCCAAAACAACTCCATGGGGAGGCCTTCGTCCAGTAGTGGACAGACAAAGGGCTGTCAGTTCAAGGAGCATTTTACCGGGTGATAAGTTACGATTGTACTGCAGTCACCGATGAAAACACGACTTTGCAATGCAGTGCAAATGCATGCGTTCTATCACGATCAAAGGTGCACGGTGAGTCCAAACGTCCACACAAACACCTTTAGGAGGCATTCTTTTCTGTTTAAGAGCGATGCAAAGACGCCAGAACCTCCCAGTACGACGCATGGCAGGGCCATTAACCACCAAGTCTTTCAACAGCGGCGTGGGCATACACAAAGCACTCGACATCTTAGTTAGTCACATTTTGAAATGGCAGCATTGCGTGAACCAACAGCTCTCTTGACTCCGGTCTCTCTGGAGGACTCTGTGCCAATTTTCCGAAGGTGTCATATAATTTGACTGCGCTGGAGGCGATGCAGCGAACCCGAGTTCGACTCCCGGCTACGGCCAGCACCACGCCCGGCCGCATTTGTCTCTCTACTGCTGATGTTTACGCACCGCACCAGGTACTCGTTTGAGGCTGAGTCGACCGAGGGGAGACCCAGGACCGGTTAATATGATCGTCGCTAGTGTTGGCCGTGATCTGGATTCGAGCTCGTGTCGCGCTACCTGCTACACTACCGCTCATATATTCACTATCACAAATACACACTCAGAGGGATGGGGGGGGGGGTGAACTCCACATAGCCTTTTAACAGATTGTTAGTGAGCGCCTATTAAGGCAGGCATGGGCCATAAGCACGAGCTTCTGTGTGGGAAAGAAGCTGGTGCAGACTGCACGGCAGACAACAAGCAGATCGTATCGCAACTCATTCTATTAAGCATCTAACATGTGTTTAAAGTTTAAACACCGACTGTTGAACCCCCCCCACCCACCCCTTAATCAAAGTCACGCTACAGGGTTACACACCAGGGCTTACTTTCAGCCGGAATAGTCCACAAAGCTGTTCGTATAATTATTTTAAATAGGCACTCAGCCACATGCATGCATCCATCCATCTCACCGTATGTTGTTTCTTAATGATGCTCATACACCTGTGCGCACATGGTTAACGGAATGTGGTGTCCAGTACGACAGGCTCGTTATGGATGACCGTACCATGTACGCCCCCCCCCCCCAATTAATTAACCTCTAACATTTTTGTCCTTTGCATGTTAATTTCAGTTTTAAATACACCTTCCTTAAAATATGTAGTACGTTTTAGAGAATTCATAACGAGAAGACTATTTATTTATACCGCACTGGAGCAATCCTATGAGCTCTAAGCTCTTTTTCACAGATGTCCAGTATTAATTGAATTGGGGTCACAAGGCATTTGGACCGCCCTGTACCCTCGTGGTAGTGCCTTACGCCAACAATCCCCCTCCTCTCAAGCCAGCCTAGCTGCCAGCGTGCGGTAGAAAGAGAGACACACACAATCTCAGAGAGAGAGAAATCCATGCCGGGTTTCACCGCAGTCTCGTTTGCGCCCCCCCCCCCCCCCCTTTGCCTTGGCAGAGAAACGCGAGCCGCTGATGCTCCGGATCCACTCGGGAGGAGACGGAGTCACCTTCAACTTCCACCCGGGCTCCACGGGGGGAGACGCGGTCGACGAGGTGGAGGAGGTGGCCCCTCCGCCTCGACGACGCCAACACCACGGGCCTGTGCTGCAGGGCGCCGCGGGGAACCCGGCAGCTCACGGCCGCGCCGCGGCCTCCTTCCTACACCGCCAGGGGTCATCACAGCTCGGTGAGTGGGCCAGGCCCCACCCCCCCCTCTCTTCTCTCGCTTGCGTTGCTGAGCGAGTCCGCCCGTCTCGTTGCGCGGTGAGTTTTTTTGGTGTTCGCCGATTTCCCGAGGGGTGGGCCACTGTCGCCGACGAGAGGCATCACCTGCCAAAACCATTGGGGGATTGACAGCAGCGCTGTGATGCTGCTGGTGATGATGGTGATGGAGGGGGGGGGGGTGTTTTTACTCGTTGTGTATTGTCGGGGGGGGGGGGCACGTCAGTGACTGCACTGAAATGCCACTAGGGAACGCCAGTGGCCCACGGGCCTTGCAACGAAGAAGACCACTCACCGGTGGCGAGTCGCCTTCCTGTCGCTCTTCCATGGCTACCGCCATGCGTCACTGTTACCACGAACTTCACTCACCGAGTCCTCCACCCATGTTGAGGACTGGATCTACCAGACTGACTGGATCTACCAGACTGGATCTACCAGACGGACTTGATCTACCAGACTGACTGGATCTACCAGACTGGATCTACCAGACTGGATCTACCAAACTGACTGGATCTACCAGACTGACTGGATCTACCAGACTGGATCTACCAGACTGGCTGAATATACCAGACTGACTGGATCTACCAGACTGGATCTACCAGACGGACTTGATCTACCAGACTGACTGGATCTACCAGACTGGATCTACCAGACTGGATCTACCAAACTGACTGGATCTACCAGACTGACTGGATCTACCAGACTGGATCTACCAGACTGGCTGGATCTACCAGACTGACTGGATCTATCAGACTGGATCTACCAGATGGATTGGATCTACCAGACTGACTGGATCTACCAGACTGGATCTACCAGACTGACTGGATCTACCAGACTGGATCTACCAGACTGGCTGGATCTACCAGACTGACTGGATCTACCAGACTGGATCTACCAGACGGACTTGATCTACCAGACTGGCTGGATCTACCAGACTGGATCTACCAGACTGGCTGGATCTACCAGACAGACTGGATCTACCAGACTCGATCTACCAGACGGACTTGATCTACCAGACTGACTGGATCTACCAAACTGGATCTACCAGACTGACTGGATCTACCAGACTGGATCTACCAGACTGACTGGATCTACCAGACTGGATCTACCAGACAGACTGGATCTACCAGACTGGATCTACCAGACAGACTGGATCTACCAGACTGGATCTACCAGACGGACTTGATCTACCAGACTGACTGGATCTACCAGACTGGATCTACCAGACTGACTGGATCTACCAGACTGGATTTACCAGACTGACTGGATCTACCAGACTGGATCTACTACACAGACTGGATCTACCAGACTGGATCTACCAGACAGACTGGATCTACCAGACTGGCTGGATCTATCAGACGGACTGGATCTATCAGACTGACCGCTTCGTCTCATCCTGAATCACAATCAGTATTTATACTGCTGGAGGAATCCGATGAGCTATAAAGCTCTTTTTTCACAGGTGTTCAGTAGGGGTGGGTCAGGTTGTTACAACACAAAATACAAAAACACAACAGGGGTGCAAAGTATAGGAAAGTTAAACACATCGGTGGAAGTATATACAAATAAAACAATTTTTCGTGTTACCAGGTAAATCCCACTAAGCTATTAGCTTATTTTTTCAGAAGCGACCTGGCCACAAATGATAGCTCAGCGAAGTGTTTTTTCGATTGGAAAATTTATAGCAGCAAAATAATCTAAAGAGAATGGTGGAGCAGATAACATGAATATTCGTTCCAACGGTGCCATACAAACACCGAATCCGGCATGCCGTTATCTCCTCGGCTCACTTAATAAGGCACCAAAAAAAGTTTTCCGATCTAAAACAATCAAAGATATCCGCCAAAAATCGTGGATATCTTGGGGGGGGGGGGGGGGGGAATGCAGCCATGTTTGATTTTAGGTGGCCTACATAATTTTTTTTATGAAAAGATACACCACTGTGAATGTTCCTAGCAAATCTTGACTTAAAGCTTTCGTGACTGCAGGAATACATATCGCAACACAAGCAATCGTCTTCACCTGAGGACGATTGCTTGTGTTGCGATCGAAACGTCGTGATATTTTTTTAATCATTTTTCTATCTACGTGGCTTTACCGAAAGACCCATAGAATATGTCCCTAGCAAGTTTCATGCTTGTATCACGATTGAAACAATTATTGTGGGAGAAAGAAAATTCACTTTATCCACTCCACTAAGATAGGAAGAGGTTACCAGTGCACACCTCTGAGACTGCTTGATCACGCCACTGATTGGCGGGGCTCTGCAAGAAGGGAGCTCGAAAGCGAACCCAGCGGTCTCCACTGCTGAAGGTAACACGAACTGTTAGAGAAACGTAAACTTTGCCGACTGCTGGCAGTTTGCAAATCTGTGGGAAGTGGTCCGTGGAAATTTCTGCGGACACGATTCGTTTCTCCTTCACAAAACACTGTCATCTTAGTTGCGTGATGGTCCCATGAGCAGTGTTTGAAGGTTGACAGAAGTCCACAAGAAGTCCACGTTGCTCTCTGGGGGCCTGGGTCACATCGCTGCAGACGTAGCAAGATCTGAAATCGCTGCAACCCTCAAAAACGCTAAGATGCCAGCTAGCAACCTCAGCAAAGATGAGCGTTTTGAATTATATAAATTAAAAAAGAGGGATGATATTGTAGTCCTCTCAGCTGACAAGGGCAATGCTACTGTCATCATGGATAAAATAGAATACAACAACAAAATTAAAAAAAAATACTCGATGATGGTAGTTATACAAAAATAAAAAGAGATCCCACCAACAGCCTCGTCACACAAACCAACACAATAATTTCTGATTCAACCGCATTAATTGATCAATTTAAACAGTTTTCGTTGAAACCTTCTGCTGCCAGGCCACCAAGATTATACGGCTTACCAAAAATACATAAAGTAGATACACCCCTTCGTCCCATCGTCTCTACTATCAACTCCCCCACCTACAAACTAGCTCGTTTTTTGGCTGAAATCCTGCGTCCTTTCACTGGAAAAACCACCTCTGCGGTACAAAATTCTACTCACCTGGTATCGACAATCAAGGGTATTTCCCTGTCCCCAGACGACCTGCTTGTCAGTTTTGATGTAGTTTCCTTATTCACCAAGGTTCCTGTACCTGACACCATCGCAATCATTGAAGACTTGGTTCATCAAGGACTAAACACTGAGGTACCCCCCCTGGTGAGACACTGTTTAACCAATACATACTTCACTTGGAATGGAACTTTCTACAAACAAACTGAGGGCACCCCAATGGGCTCCCCCCTATCTCCAGTTATAACTAACATTTTCATGGAGAAATTTGAGACTGACGCCATCCAGACTGCCACTCTGCGCCCAACCTTATGGAAGAGGTACGTGGATGACACTTTTGTCATCTGGCCACATGGCCGGCCTGCTCTAGACCAATTCTTAGACCACATCAATTCCATACACCCAGTCATCAGATTTACCAGGGAAGTCGAAAAAGATGGCAAGCTACCTTTTTTGGATGTCCTAATTAAAAAGAGACCTGATGGTTCAATGAGCCACTCTGTATACAGGAAAGCTACCCATACGGATGCTTATCTGAAACCGGATTCCCACCACCATCCATCACAGAAGAATTCTCTCATCAAGACTCTGTATCATAGAGCCCAATGCATATCCGACCAGGAACACATAGGCAGTGAACTCAAGCACGTACACCAAGCTCTTAAGGCTAATGGTTACTCCGACTATACAATCCGCAAAGCTATCACTCAAACCATGAAGAAGGACCCTCTTGAGGAGCCTTTCAAAACCATCACTTTACCCTACATTGCAGGGATCACAAAAAAGATATCCAAAATCTTGAATAAACACAAGATCCAGGTCCGTTTCAACACATTACATAAAATCCGTGATCTGGTTCCGTCTGTAAAAGATGTGATTCCGGACATACAGTACCCTGGTGTCTACAAACTAAGTTGCCTCTGTGGTAGTAGTTACATTGGAGAAACCAAACGCCATGTCTCGGACCGCATTCGTGAACACAAAGCAGACCTTAAACACGGTAGGACCAACACCTCGGCCATGGCAGATCATTGTTATAATTCAGTAGGCTCACATGACATTGACTTTTCCAAGACAGAGGTTCTTTGTAAGCCATCTAGCTACCATGAGAGATTCGTTCATGATGCTATCCACATATACAAGCACAGAGACAATTTCAACCGAGAAGATGGATTCTGGCTTAGCAATCATTGGAAAGATTTGATAAGGCATTTAAGGTCTTAATTGATTGTTCACGCTTACAGTGGCTTTCAGACAGCATACATTAATTTTTCGTCTCCCCCCTACCCCTTTTCAGAACATAGATGGACTAGTCCTTCTAAATAAACTGCCAAATCGCTGCGCGTGGCGCTGACGTTTTTGTTATAAATACACCGTTAAAAAATAAATAAATTAATGCGAACCGACACACCTGATGACGACCGTTTGTGTTATGGTCGAAACGTCGTGAGAATTTGTATTGTTTTATATATTTTATTATTTTATTGTTTCCCTTCAACGTGACTTTACCGAAAGAGCTAAGAATAAGAAGTCCACAGGTCAAGACGCAGTTGGGAACCACTGCTCTATAGAGGATATTTGGCCTACTCTTTCACACTGTCCAGACATTTTGAAAAAATTAGGACTACCCGCACTTTAATGACAGTAATAATCAGGGCTTAATTTCTGATGGAATATTTTCCGGTGCTCCCCCAATCGCTCAACTGAGGAGCAACACACAGGATTGGGTCGCATAGCGAGTTAATTACTCGTACGACGAACGTTGTGTAATCCCAAGGCGGCACTCATTTCTATCTTGGGGGGAAAAAAACGTATATGTGTTGTGAGCATTTCCAATTGTATACCACAGGTCCCTTGGGGTTTGTGTTTTCCGAGGTGACACTTTGGTTAGAGTGTTCGCCTTTCAGTCTCTGGGAACAGCGTGAGTTTAAATTCAGGTCAGTTTGTTGAAACAGCCCATCATTTTCATTCTCCCTTCAGGGCTGATGAAATGAATACCACATTTTGTGGAGTCAACCGTGGTGGTTCTATGGGATTGGCTGGGCCCTGCTATAGAAAGTAGAACGTTTCATCATTTGCCAGTGTATATGAGAATTATAATAATTACGATGTCCTTTATGTGTTATGCCCCTTGTGCTCGTGGGTTCTGCAGTATCCTGCCACGCTTATAAACACTCATTAATGGAGTTGGCCAAACACCAAAAGACTATAGGAACACAGAGCTTGGACAATTGTAAGTGGCAGTTCTGGATGCCTTCCCACTTGGTCATGGTTTCCGTGCATCTCAATCTATATTTATAAAACCTCGATTGAAAATTTATTTCTATGGAACTGATTTTTGTGTTTCATTTGTCGTCCTTGCCCAATTAGCACGGTTGGCTACGTACAGTGCGAAAGAAGTTCAACATGGACACATACATCTCCATGTAAAAACTGTGCACGTTACACATTCTTCGGAGTGTTGAGATGCATTTTTGCTGAGATGCAATTTGCATGCATGACGCTTCGTAGAAAAATAAAATAAAATAAAAACAACCTAATGTGGCGTGCAACCATCAACAACGGGGGTGACAAAAGAGACGTGGCCACACACCCTCCCCCTCGTACGCTGCGGCGGCCTTCATAGACGCCCGCTGACGGCACCTGCTCCTAACACTCTTCCATTTGCATCCATGCGTGTGTGTACCATATTTGTGTGCGCGTGTGTCCGTAAATAGGCGCAGGCCCTCGCACGATTCACGTGCTGGCGATCCGCTCTCAGGGCCGCGCGGGCTCGGCCGCCCAACGGCCGCACCACCTGAGTACAGGTGAGGTCGCGGGGTCAGGCGAGCATGTCGGCGAAAAGGCGCCGCTGATTGCAGGCGCCGCATTGATTTGTGGAAGGAAACTCATGTAAATCTTCACTCGACATTGTTTTGTGAAACCGGCCACAGGCCGCGCTGCTGCTTGCTTGCCGGCCACTTGACGTTCTGGGGGCCTTTGAGGCTTTGCGCTCAGAAATTGTGTTTAAGATAAAATAAATAAAACCCGAGAGTTTCCACCTGGACCGGGGTTCACCGTACGTGCGTTGTCTGCGATGGTACTCATTGGGATATCTGATAGGGTGTAAGGGATTGGGAAGTTCGGCAAGCAGGTTTGTGGTCGACATGTTCGCATTTGAGTGTTACCTTCTTATTCAAGTATGGCTTCCTCCAGGCACTTCGATTTTCTTCCACGAACAAAAAAAAACTCTTGCAAAGGAATTGGCCATCAACACCAAAGCAGGGTGCTCCTGAGAATGTCACGAGACTCAAGAAGGCTTTCCTGGATAAAAACACGTGATTGTTGCTTTGTGTTATTTGAAAGGAAAAAAAAATCAATATGGTTTCCTGCTCAATTGAGCATGGGGTAACACTAATGCTCCATTTACGGCTTTGAGCCAGCGGTGGAAATTCTACATTCCTATTTTTCGTGGCAAGTTTATCCAGAGGACAACCGCTCTTGATTTCCCCAACAAAGTAGTATGCGTTTTGTGAACTCCGGACAGATGACGTCAACCTGGATTTACACGCGCACATGCACACACGCACATGTGCGTGCGTGTGTGTGCGTGTGCATGCGTGTCTGTGTGTGTGCGTGTGTGTGCGTTTGCGTCAAGGAGCCGTGGCACAGCGGTTAGCACGCTGCACTGCGACCCTGGAGGCCCGAGTCCAACTCCCGCCTACGGCTAACATCGGTGATGATTATCTGAACCGGTCCTGGGCCTCCTTTATATCGACTCAGCCTCAAATGAGTACCTGGTGCGATGCGTAAACATCGCCGCTGGGGAGACAAAGGCGGTCGGGCGTGGTGCTGGCCACCCACCCCCTCGTGTGCCGTACCAGCCTTCATTAGGTGCTCGCCAACAGCACTTGCCGCTACAGTCTGTTAAGGCTACACGGGGTGGGGGGGGGGGGATCTTTGTCTATTGTCGCGGCTCAGATGAGCGAGTGTCGATGCTGAAGGACGTGCGGGTGGAGATGCTGAGCCCCGTGTCGGTGCTCATCACGTGGCGGGATCCTCTGTACAGCGCCGAGCACGAGCAGGGCAGCACGCAGCGGTGAGCGAAGCACGCACGCGGCACCCGCCGCGGCTGCCACCCTAACACAAGCAACATGGGCCCCATTGGATTCACGGAGCGTCTAAATGCGGCCGCCAGCTCACGGCAATAATCGAATGAGGGCAAGGGGGTAAGGAACTGCATTCGGGGACGACGACTCCACCTCTTACAGCCCGTGGCCACGTGAAGACCCATCACTTACAAACGGTCCGCAAACAAATCACCGCGGTCATCTTAGGCTTCGACGCACCCACTGTTGGGTCGCTCGCTCACCGAAACGCGTGATCGGCGCGGGGTCGCGGCCACCCTCCTCCCCCACGTCGACCCATCAGCCGCAGCCGTCCAAGTGTCTTCAGCCGGGGCTCCACGAACTTCCTTGAACTGCGTGTGGGCCAACCTTGGAACCCGGGTGCCAGTCTCTGCCCCACGGCCTGTGCCGCATGATCGGGCAGCAGCGCAGAGGTTGAGAGTGGCATGATCAGAGGTTGAGAGTGGCATGTTCTGGCATGTCGTCAGACATCTGTCTGACGTGTCCAAACCAATCAGGTACGAGACGGGAATATTTTCGACCTGGCAAAAGCAATCAATGTGCTTCTGGTTTCGACGCACTCAGTCGTTTGCCGTCACTTGGCATGAAGCACCAGCAAGCGACGGACACGGATGGCTGTGAAGGGATGTGCAGTCCTGCGAGAGATCTGAATGGGATTTTCATCTAATGATATGACGGCCAATGGCACAATTGGGATTCAATTTGAGAAAAGGTTAAGACCAAAAAAAAACAGATTTTAGTTTTGCAGACCCAGTGACCGGAGTTCACTTTCTGGATCACAGCCAACACCAGTGTGACAATTATTTGAACCAGTTCTGGGCCTGCCCCGAGATCAACTCGGCCTCAAATGAATGCCTTGGTGCATTGTTTAATCATCGACACAAGGGGAGATAAAGGTGATCGGGTGTGGTGCTGGCCACCCACCCCTTCGTGTGCCATACCGGGGCCCCATTAGTGTTCGCTAACAGCACTTGCCCCAGTTAAGAAGGCTATACGGGGAGCCTTTGTCTTTGTACACACACAGAGAGATTGGTTCCAGAAAGACGTGAAACTACTTGATCATATTGGCACAAGACAGAGGAAACAAATGACGAAATGTTGCAGTGGCCACCAACGTACTGCCCATGGATCGTGATGATGATGATGATAACACACATATCCTTAATAGCTGGTTTAACACGGAGAATTGTAAATATTGTGGGTTTATTCTCCAAAACACCGTTGTGCTGAAGTAGTAACTAATTGGCACGTTTCTTTTTACATGACAAACCTCACTAATTGGCTGTTGACGAGAGCCACCAAGACATCCACCGAGCAGGAATCTGCGAGACAGAGAAAAAATTAAAGGAGCATGCGGGAGCGATGAGATGCCTTTCATCCATCAGAATAGCTCGGCCCGCAGCATTCCCTTCAAAAGGCCAGACGGTTCGAAGAGGATCTTCTGTCTGTGCTGCCCCCTCTTCTCTGGCTGCGCCTGCAGGTACTACACGGTGCGCTACCGGGAGCAGGTGCCCACTGCGATGTGGGCCTACCGCACCGTGAGCCGGCCTCACCTCGTGCTGGGAAACCTGCGGCCGCGTGCCGAGTACGAGTACGCGGTGCGCGTGTCGGAAGGCCGAGTCGACGGAGACTGGTGTGGTCCATCAAAGCAACAGCAGCAGCAGCAGCACCAACACGTCGCGAGTAAGTGTCTGTGTGTGTCTGTGTGTGTGTCTGTGTGTGTGTCTGTGTGTGTCTGTGTGTGTCTCTGTGTGCGTGTCTGTGTGTGTCCGTGTGTGTGCAAGCGACACACGGGCCACAAGCAGCAGCAGCAGCAGCATCAGAACTTTGGGTTCAGGTTTTTCACCGATTATTCATTTGACAGGTAGGATTTCGCAGCCAATATTACGACGGCCTTGGATGTGTTTTTTTTTACATTCTAATTTTCCCCCGCATCTTGTCCTGATGATGCTGATGATCTTTGATGTGAGTTGCAAGCGAAATGTCGTGTTTACATGGCCGATGGTGGTTGTTCGACTTGCAGGTGAGCAAAAATAATAATAATTGCAGCGTTAAACGTGGCAATTCAGTTATTAAATTCGCCATGAATACAAAAGCATTGCAGCTATACAGTAAAAAAAAAATCAGCTGAGTTTAATTGATTTAGAATAGTTAATAGCTCCTTAAAATTTCCGGTTAAAATTCCTGCACTGGCATGAACAAGCAATTGCAGGGCTGCACCTACAGCATTCCACACCTATATCGTTAAACAGAATAGAAAATCATTTATGATCAAAATCAGCTTCTGAGGTAATGACTTCAAGGCAAGAGAGCTATTTAGAGGGAAAATTGAGACCCAAACGATTATTAACTCCTGGAACAGAACATTGTGATGTTGAAAAATGTCTGAGGCTTCAAAGACTTAGGTCTGGAAGGAGAAAACTAGATAGGCTGACGGGACTGAGGGTACAAGTGATAATAATAATCATTCAAAGGGGACCCTACAGTGGCAGCTGCCCCTGTGTGGCACGAGGTGATGAGCACCAGCCTGAAAGTGGACATTAGGTGTGGCAGGGGGTAAATAATTTAATTCCTTGTCGACAACAACAACGACAACAACAATTATTTTACCAAGCAGAAATGGACAAATAATGAAGTGAACATCTAAACATGTCTCCGGAGCTATCGTAATAATCCAGCGCTTAACAGGAATGATGAAGGTTTCCAATGTGAACCGCAATAACCACGTTCAACACTTTACACATGTTGTCACTGCAATGCTGTTTTGTGCCACGGGTGTGTTGAGAGCTGTAATCTAAATACAGTTTTACGCACGGTTACTGTTCAGGGTGTTCATGTTATATTGCACAAGTGGGCATTAAAATTAGATGAAAATGGGCCATTTTTCAGGGTGACACGGAGCTAATAGTAAGCCCTGCAGCAATCACGGATTAGATTGCAAGGTCTTTGTTCGGCATTAAGGAGTAAGGAAAAATGGCTAAACTGTAAGGGATCATTATTTTGATCGCTGTGTATTATATTTAATTAGCGTGATACATATTCATCGTCAAAATTATCCACAGCTGCAAAAATCAGCACGCGCGTCGTGGCCCCAACGAAAAATAATCTCATCCAATTATAATTTGACAAGACACAATATCTAGGTGGTGGTGTAGTATTATATATATATATTTTTATTACGTAGCAGTGGGTTGCACCCTGCCTTTTGGATTCGGTAACTTGAGTTCAATTCCGGACCATGGCTTTACAATGAGTGGCGAGCAGGGTGGAGGACGATGGAACAAACCCCACGACCATGAGGAAGCCTTCATCAAGAAGTGGATTATTGACAGATGGCTGTGCACTATTGTTTTTACCATCATAATAAATTGACACACTTTGTCAATCCACTGCAGGACGAAGGCCTCCTCATGCCTTGCTGGTCATGGGGAATGTTTGGCCATACTTCATCGTGCTGGTCAGTGCCGTGGTCAGGATAAAATACAGGTTTCACTAGTTTCATAGTGCAGCGTGGAAAACCACTGCACCACCACCCTTCTACCCCATTTTTATTTACAATTAACCAAGCTGATTGGGTTTGCACCTATCCTGGATTTCCCAGGATTGTCCTGTTTTTGAGGTAGTAGCTGTACTGGGAAATCTGTCTTCTTGGAGCATGAACGGTCCCAGTTTTGTGTCAGCTGAGTATTAATAGCGCGTCGCTCAAGACAACGTATTTATGTTCGGTCTTCCCGTCTTCTGGTATTCTGAGATATCCTCATGCCCGTGAGATGTCCCGGCTCTTATTTTTCTACCCCAGAGATGAGAACCCTAGCCACCAAGCCTGGGTCGGCATGAGTTCAAACCCGCTTGGGGATCGACTCAACCCATCATTGCCATCTCCACAGGCCATCACGTGCATCGTTACTAGCCAATGGGAAGAGCAGCCACGGATACGGTGTGGTGTCAGCACGTTTGCCTCCGGTTTACAACCTCTGCTTTCGCTTACAGGGCCACTGAACGCTGACCCGTCCTCCGTCATAGGGCCTCGCTCGGCCTCTGCTAAGGCACCCAAGGCGCTGAGCAATTCCATCCGTCGGAAGTCGCCCGGAAAGAATGGTTATCTTCACCTCTTCCACCTCCTCCTCCTCCTCTTCCTCCTCCTCCTCTACCTCTTCCTTCTCCACCTCCTCCACCTCCTCTACCTCTTCCTTCTCCACCTCCTCCTTCACCTCTTCCATCTCCTCTACCTCTTCCTTCTCCACCTCCTCCTCTACCTATTCTTTCTCCACCTCCTCCTTTACCTCTTCCACCTCCTTCCCATGCACCATCCCTAATGTTGCCAACCTCGATATTTTGTTGGGGACTTCGCAGTGACTTTGGGATGCTACTGTGGTGTAATGGTTCGCACACTGGACAATCCAGAGATCACTGGGTTGATTCAATGTCCCGGCGCAGCAGTTGAAACAATGGACATGTTTCCTACGTCTCCCCGCCTCTGTCTGCCCAGCAGTCTAAATGGATCCAGCCGTGGTTAGTTGATTGGCAGGTTGTGTGTGGTGGGGTAAAGTGTGTGTGCTCGCACCTCCTCCAAGACATCTGTCCAGCATGGAAGCGTGGGCCAAAAATCCTCTTGGGGGGACTCTCTCGAGCTCCTTCTAGCGGAGGGCGTTCTGCTAGCAGTGGCGTGCGAAAGACATTGCAGGGCTGCGCCATTACGTTTAACCAAAGCGACGAGCGACCAATCTAACGACTTTCTGGGACGAGGACATGATGCATAGTTAGGAGCAATTTGCAGGAACGTAATAAAAACGCTGCATCAGTTTACAATGCTCTGAGCACTTTGTAAATAGTCCAGCGGCATGCTACGGTACGCTTGGCGAATTTTGGCTTTAAGAAGTTGGCCTCAATTGGCCATCCATCCCGCCCGCGTGCACTGATCTCTCTCTAACTACAAACAGAAGAAATCGTTTTCGCGTTTTGCTTTTCCAGAGCAACGCTCGTCACACGGCACTGCCGTGCCTAGATGCTTTCAACCAAGAAGTCGCTGATTCGGCAAACCGCCTCCTGGCCCCCGGTTGCTTAACAAAATTGATGATGTGGACACGTGCCCTTCTACCACAAACATCAAACAACATAGACACGTGTGTGTGTGTGTGGTGTATGTGTGTGTGAGCAGGGACCGGTAGGGTAGCGGTTCACACGCTGCGTTATGAACCCGGCAACCCGAGTTTGATTCCCGCTCACGGTCAACACCAGTGACGATTATTTTAATCGGTCCTGGGCCTCCCCTAGGTCGACTCAGCCTCAAATGAGTACTTGGTGCGGTATTTAAACATCGCCACTCGGGAGCCAAAGGCGAACGGGCGCGGTGCTGGCCACCCACTCCCTCGTGTGCCGTTCCAGCCTTCATATGTGCTCGCTAACAGCACTTGCCCCAACAGTCTGTTACAGGCTACACGGGGGATCTTTGTGTGTGTGTGAATAGGGAGTGGTAGGGTAGTGGTTGGCGCACTGCGCTACAAACCCGGCTACCAGAGTTCGATTCGCCGGCCACGGCCAAGATCAGCGGCAAAAATCTGAACCAGTCCATGGGCATCACCTAAGTCTACTCAGCCTTAAACCAGTACTCGGTGTGTTGGGGAAAGATCAGCACAATAATATATGGGCGAGAGAGATAGACATTGTGCATGCATTCCACTTAATAAGCAACACAATGACGGCATCGTATTCTAGCTGCTCTACCCAATCAGTTGGAGGCCCCTGGCTTGTTGGAGCTCTGCCACGCTTACCCACGTGGAAGAGACCACTTGCTCTCGTGGGCTTATTGTAGGTGTACGTATACAGCGGTCGGAACGTGCCGGTATTGGATGGTATGCCATGCCGGCACTTCTAGGAACGGTTCCTGAACCCTGCTGTGTTTCTGCAGAGGGGAAACGGCAGTGTCGGCGTAGACTTGAGGACAAACAGCTTTCGTAGCAGGACTCATAACACTTCCGTTTTGACCATTACCACCATCTGGCCCGGTCATTCTGCCGCTTGAGTCAAGGTCTCCCCCTCCCTCTCACCGCCACCTCCACTGTCTCTCGCCATCCCGCGGCTATGTCGCATTCTGCCCGCCGCCTGCAAGCCTCTCCCCGGTCGACGTCCGCTGGGACCCATTCCATCCCTTAGCTGCCGTTCCATCGCTGTGCTTTGACCATCGGCTGTCGTCCCTTCGAGTGATGTATCCTGCCCCAAGCCCGCATACTTGTATTAACACTTTGAACGGTGTCATTAACCTGCGTATGTTCTCTAATCCATGTGATCCTCTTCATATATTCATATATACATATTACTTATATATAACGAAAGCCTTACATACTGTATGTCATGGGTGGGAACCTGTGGTCTGCAAGGCCATATCTGGAAAAGGCCCACAAAATATATGTATTTGTCACGACAAGCATGTCAGCTGTACCAATTGGATACTAAAGGCGAATATTATCAACCTGACAACGCCGTGTTTCTAATATTAGCTCGCACAGTTACTTATATCACTGCCAAACAGTCATATCTGATCCCAAGTAACAATTTAGACCCCAGCCGTTCGTATAGAGTGAAGGTGGAGTGGGATGGGGTGGTCGCGCAGTGGTAATCACGCTGTTCTGTAAACCCGGGGGTCTGTGTTCAAATTCCTGGCCTTGGCCCACACCAGCAATGAGTGACAGCTGACAGTGCGGGTATTTCCCACCTCTTCTAAGACATCTGGCCACTGTGGAAGAGTAGTCCAGATACTCCCTAGAGGGCCTCGCTAAAGCTCCCTCTGGTTGGAGACCCTTGCACCATAACGGCGGCCCGAGAGAGCAATTGCAGGGCCATCATCCCGAGGGGAGAGTCAACTGAAGGACATGGGTCGTCCCGTCTACAGGAAAAAAACGGGAAGTCGGAGCTGGGTCCGCGGACGGACAAGAAGGAGAGGCCTCCTCCCAAAGCGCAGAGCACCATCCCTGACAAAAAGCCCCACTTCGCCGAAAACAATCTCATCGGGAAATGGGTACGTGTTGAGCCTCCACGCATTCACGAGAGGGCACTTGGTCACTCACAAGCGCAGGTCGGATGGATCAGAGAAGCACCATCGAAATGGCTTTGTTCATGCAAAGTTGCTGCGTGACCGCATTTAAACACTGGCGGCAAACAGTTCTGTCGCACCTCCGATTAGCATGGTTGGCCACGTGTGGTGCGAAAGAAGTTCAACATACATACGTGTATGTTCTTCGTACGGCCGGGTGGCTCAGCGGTAGAGCAAGCGGCTCGTAAGCGGAAGATTGGGAGTTCAAATCCTGATCGGGGGTCGACTCAGCCCCATCGCTCCTTTGGAGTTGATAAATATGAGCAGTTCATTGTGGGAAGCCAACAGTGGCTGTCCTATGGACAGACTCACCCCCACCATAGGAATGGGGAATATCCACCACTGGTTAAGGGCTGTCATCAGGAGATGAGCCACAGACTCGATGCTCATTTGAGCAGGAAGTCACTTTGACATTTGAGGCCCTATGCTCTTTGTTGTAATTATGTTTCTGCATAATCGATAACATCAACAATAAGTTTATGTTCAATTGCTCGCTTAAACGAATGCTGCTGGATAACAATGGTCTGGAGAGCCAGTAAGCTGATTGACCAAATATATTAAATGTTATAAATGAAGACACAGGATGGAGGCATGTATTTTTTCCCATGGGTGCATTAAACCTGTAAGTGTTTCTGTCCTTGTATTGCTATAACAGATTGGCCGTTTTTCAGGACGCTGTGGCTCAGGTGATATTATGAAATGGTGGCGTAGCTGCCTTTACAATCGTCCTTCAGAATTACACCTTGAAAACGATCGTAATATCCCAACCCAGCCCCTTTCTTCTCAGCGGTAAAGTGAGATGTGTCTATTAACTCTGCCGTCCGACTGTTACTCTGACTTCGAACAGATGATCGACCCAAACACCAAAGTTCTGTTCACGCCAGATGGCAACATGGTTTATGATCAGCACGGAAAACCAGTGAAGCTGTGCATTGGACACGATGGAAGCTCTGTGGCAGGTATTTATCCATCATTCATCCTGCCGCCAATTCAGCATTTTGTTTATCCTTTCGAACACTGATCCATCCCCTCTTCCATCTGTCCACCCATTTTACGATCTGTCCACCGTGGCATTTTAACAACTCGCTTAGTTTTGATCTGGAGCTGCCAGGAATGAAATGGTCACGTGGCAACACGTCAATTGGTGTATCCCTTGTGGTGGGGAATAATACGGTTACACTGTCTCTTGTCCAAATTCACAAGCGAGATATGTACTACATATGTGGGAGGCTCTTCCTATGCGATGATGCTACAGTTAAGTTGCTCAACAAACCACGTGTGGTGGGGTAATGAGTGGGTACTCAATACATCTTCTGAGTCATCTGGCCAGCATGAAAGAGCAGGCCAAGTCATACGCAGAGGGGCTGTACAGGGCTACCCCGAATGGAGGCTCTTCCACCAACAGTGGCATGAGCGGGCAACGCCAGGGCCTACAAATGCAGGATGGTCTGGATTTATAGCGCGTCTAAATGCAAATGCAGAAAGCACAAGATTGGGGACCATGCGAATTACAGGTGACGAAACGGGGCGGTGTTCACGTTTCGTAAGTAAGTTGTGATTGGAATCAATTTATGGATGGGAGACAGTCAAATCGTAAGCCGAGGGGAAAGAGGCAGGCGCTGAGCCTGGATTGGAACAGGGGGCAGGGGGCGTTGGGCAGCGGAGATAACCAGGAGAAGATTATTTCAGACACAGTTGTCTTCTCCAGAGGGCCTCGGTTGCTGGAGCTGAGAGCACATGAAAAGGAGTGGGCGCTTCGGGATTATATTTTATACTTGTGTGAGGAATGATATCAAGTAATATATCATAATGATTATGATGATGAGTAAATGGATATTTGGCCATGGTCGTTCATACAGTCTATTTACTCCATCGTTGCGTTTAAAGTCATCAGGTGTCAGACCTGGCACACAAGTTGTAATTAAACTCTCGTAGGTAATTAATTCCGTGATAAACGCCTTGAATAAAAAAAAGCAGCGGCGGCATGGGTAATCTCATCTGCAGCTCAACGACCATTTAAAACCCAAGCCAAACTCGCATTGAGATGCATACGGAGCCGGGGCATCAATTGTGGTAATTACATCACGCGTAAGTTTCCACCAATTGTGCTCTATAGCCCTCCGATGTGTTTTTTTTTTCCGGGTTACTACGCGTCGTTCGGCACGATAAAACGACGTTTCACTCCACGCGCTGGGCAGCTTCGTTAGGAACCAATTTTTGTGTTCCAGAAAATATGATAATAATACTGTAGTTATAGTCATAGTAATGATACGTGCGGTTTATAGCGCTTGGAGAAGTCGTGCAGCGGGTCGTTGGCACAAATCGGAGCGACTCGCTGCACGGCCGTGAAACCCTTACGCAGAAATAAAGTATCGTCTGTTTTTACAATAAAAAATGAAATTCAGCCTTGTGTTGCTAGCATTAACTAGCTTCAGTAAGCTTTTACTACCACCCCCATTTACAGAGACTTGGTCGATCTTTATAATTGACAATATTTAGCTTCAGACCTTTCTGCAGCTATAACACGTTCGCGATCATAAAAAAGTGAATGCCACACAGCGTGTGGAGCGATTTTGATGGATATCACAGAGTGCCACCGGCCAACACACCGGAGCGATAATGCATGCCGTGCGTTGTTGTTGTTGTTGTCGCTGTTGTTGTTGTTGTTGACGACCCTCGTTTGCCCGACCACGCCGCCGTGCCCATACAACCCCTGCCGCGCAGATGTGAATGGGCAGGCGATCCTCGGACACAATGGCTCTCTGCTGTACGGCTACGGGCCGAGCGGCAAGCCGCTGGTGGACACAACGTCCAGCCCGATTGTGACCACGGCCGCCAGGATCCTCCCCAGAGCCCGCGCCCCCAAACCCACGAGCAGGCCGAGAAGACCCGCAGCCACCACAACTACAGCCGAACCCACCACGACGACCACAACGGTACCCACGAGCACCACCTCAACCCAACCGACCACCGCAGTGCATGAGGCCACCGCGGCCGCGAGCGAATCGTCGTCCGTCGCGGCTGAACCGACCACCGCAGTGCATGAGCTCGCCACCGTAATCACCGGGGCAGCGACCGTCGCAAAGGGACGGTCCACAGCAGTGCATGAGACCACCACGGCCGCAACTGAGCCTACCGCAGTTGCGGCGGAGCTGACCTCCGCAGTGCATGAACCTTCCACTAGAACCCCGAAACGGACCTCCGTTACAGAGGGACAGACAAGCACGGTGCATGAACAAACCACGGTCGCAGACAAACTCACCACACGTCCGACCGAGCCTACAACAACTTCCACAGCAGCACCCACCCACGTAGTCACCGTGGCCACGACCGCCGCCACTACCACAACCACCACGACCACCACCGCCACCACCACAGCCGTGCCTACCATCACCTCCACATCTATACCCACCACCACTGCATCCACTGCCACCGCAAGCACAAGTGTTGCAACCACCACTGTCCCAACGACCACGCAGCCCGTCACAACCACAACGGAAGCGGCGGCGACCACCGCTACCACGGCCACCAGCACAACCACAACTGCCACCACCACCACCGCCGCCGCCGTCACCACAACCACCACCGCCGCCACCACCACCGCCAAGAAGACCGTGGCAACGACGGTGAAACCGCAAGCGGTGACCACCGTGCGCAGCACCCTGGCGCCCCGCACCAAGAAGCAGCCCACTGCCAAGCCCACCCCGAGGCCAATCAGCCGCACACAAGCCAGACTCAACCCGAGCCAGACCTTCCAAGGTAAACCCCATCACTGGTTGGCCCAAAGTGGCCCGGAGATTCACAGGGGACACTTTTTTTTAAAAGCATTGCTGGCAGTGGATCGATGAAGGAGCGTAATGTACTCTTCATGGTGGGTTTTGTTTTTTTTACAATTTTCAGTGCCAGGTACTTTTTAAAAGTGACCATGTGTGAAAGTGATCGCAATGAGATTGATTCACCAACGACTGACCTACGTTATGCACATATGGTGAATATAATTACAGGACAGTACAATGCCACGTATCTGCCCTGACCAATTAACCGCCCACACCCAGTGTGGTATTTATTGACAGTGTAGCTGTCATTTTATATCGACGTTCACATCTCGGACTTATCGACACATCCACCTATAACTCAGTCCACACGTAAATCAGATATATTATGTATGGTACTGTGTGCATCCAGATAATTAAAGTAGTTCGCCTTGGTTGGCACTTGCCACGTGGGTTGGTTTTGCTCAAGTCTGCCCAATGTCTGGGAACTTCCACTGGGACACGCGGCGAGCTGCTAGCCCCGCCTACATTTACGTAGCCCCACCTACTTTTACGTAGCCACGCCCACTCGCCCACTAGCACCGATTACTTTTACATAGCCACGCCCACTCAACAACTAGTCCCGCCCACACCGTGAGTGGCCTCCCCTTCTCTATTCGTGACGTTAGCTCTGACTACTGCAAAACAAAGATCCCCCGTGTAGCCTGTGACAGACTGTTGGGGCAAGTGCTGTGAGCGAGCAGCATCTATGAACAGCACACGAGGGGGCGGGTGGCCACCACCACGCCCGGCCGCCTTTGTCCCCCTTTGTAGCGAAGTTTGCACACCGCACCAGGTACTCATTTGAGGCCGAGTCGACCTAGGGGAGGCACATGACCGGTTTAGATAATCGTCACCGGTGTTGACCGTGAGCGAGAATCGAACTCGGTTCGCCGAGTTTGTAGCACAGCGTAGCGCTAACTACTACGCCAACGCTTCTACACGCCCCACCCACTGCTCTCCCAACCGAGCCCGCACTACTGCTCAGGTAGTGGGGGCCTAGTTGCCATTATCATGAGTCGACCGTGAAGTCAGAAATTTAAAAAAATAAGCGGAACAAATTGCAGATTTGGCCAAAAGCTTCAGGACACCGGGACTGTTCCGGTCAAACAGGGACGCCTTGGATATCGCTGTGGCAGAACATCCCACTGGAAGTCTAAAGGCTGAGCGTTCACAACCTGGTCCTGGGTCGACTCGAGTTATCACTTATCCAGGGCTGATGAAAGGAGTACAGTACTACGTTTTAGCTGAAGTCAACAGCGGTTGTTCTGTAGATGGACTTGTCCCCGGCTAGAGGAATGTGGAATTTTGCGTCACTGGCTCGAGACGTTGAGCCTTGCCCAATGCTCATTGGGTAAGTGGGTAGGCAGCGTGCTGAATGTATTTATTGCACGTGCGAGTAGGGAGCAGCAGCAACGTGTTGGTTGCGCGCTGAGCTATGAACTCGCCTCACTCCTCCTGTTAACCGATGCCCGACCGAGGCTTAAGAGCCACATCTAAGCGGTTTCCTGGGCCACCCTCTTGCCACCAAACTTCACCAAAACCACACCAACAGGACCTGGTGAGGAACGGTAAAAAAAAAACCCCATCAGGACTGGCACGATATGGGTGTTGAGCCCTTCATCCAACGGTGGATTGACAAAGCTACAGGAGCAATTGACGGGTGGGAATTGATATAATTATTAATATGTCCTCATTATATTTTCGTGCGTGTATGTGCCGTGGCTGCTCTGTTATAACTCTGGCACGGCTCGAGTAATATGTTCATGTAATTACAGTAAGAATGTTGTATGAAAGGTTGAAGTGCTGCCAGCTGGGCATATCCAATGGCAAGCCCCATACTCCCTGCAGGTGGAAAGCCCAATTTTTACAATTTCCCTTTGCTCTGCCAAATGGTCAAATGCAGAATGGAAATCTGATTCCCCAATACGGGCTTCCTGCCATTGAAGGTTACTGGAAATGTTCCCTGGTGGACGATATTATTTGATACACTGGCCGTAGACTATCGGGATAGGTTTTTAAGATAAACTGATCGCGTTTGCTCTACGTCGTAGTTTATACGCGGTGATTGTTTCCTTTGTATGTAATCGTCAGCTGCAAGCTGCTGGATAATGGCCCTCCCCTGTTTAACCACCATCTCTCGCGATTCTGCAGAGTAACAATCCACCAAGCACCTGCACCCCAGCTGATTTAATCGCTCCATCTCCTGGGTGGTCGTCCTCTATTATTCCTGGATAATTATAGTAATCACCACAATGCTTTGCTGCGATTTTTCTTTCTGTTCGTTGCGGTCAGAGGAATTCCGTGCGCTCTAAGCACAAATTTCAGATAAGGCTCTGCATTGAGGGACGAGAGAAACTTTTCAAAACCTGATTTATGGGCCCTCTCCATCATAGTCCTCCTGCCCCAAATGGACTCGCGAGCAATTTCCATCCTTCATCTGTTGCTGCTTAAATTCCTGAGGCTCAGTGCAGCCCAGTAAGAGGGGGCAAAGGATATTTTCTGAAGATACATTTTTTTATTTTATTATATCCATGACTTGGCCGAGAACTGTAAACTTACCAGACGTGACGGTATTATCAGATCAGAAAACAACACCGATTGTCTATACTCTTTGGTTCTTTCGGTAAAGTCACGTAGGTATAAAATAAAATAAATCACGACGTTTCGGGCGCACACACAAGCGTCCATCATCAGGTGGGAAATCATGGTCTGCTGCTGATGCAGACTGTTTTAAAAGGTTTGAAATGGGTGTAGCTCAAGGTTTATAAAGAAGTGGCCGGGGCTAGTGATGTTAACGTGAGGGATTAGCATGTAACTATAATATAGGAGAGCGGCCTCCTAAACGAGGGCATGGATGTGGCTAGGTTAATGTGAGATATTAACATGATGTTAATGTGAGAAATTAGAGGGCATGGAAGTGGTTATGTTAATGTGAGAGATTAGCATGATGTTAATGTGATAAATTAGAGGGCACGGAAGTAGCTATGTTAATGTGAGAGATTTGCGTGATGTTAATGTGAGAAATTAGAGGGCACGGAAGTGGATATGTTAATTTGAGGAATTAGCATGATGTTAATGTGAGAGATTTGCGTGATGTTAATGTGAGAAATTAGAGGGCACGGAAGTAGCTGTGTTAATGTGAGAGATTAGCATGATGTTAATGTGAGAAATTAGAGGGCACGGAAGTGGATATGTTAATTTGAGGAATTAGCATGATGTTAATGTGAGAGATTTGCGTGATGTTAATGTGAGAAATTAGAGGGCACGGAAGTGGCTGTGTTAATGTGAGAGATTAGCATGATGTTAATGTGAGAAATTAGAGGGCACGGAAGTGGATATGTTAATTTGAGGGATTAGCATGATGTTATTGTGAGAGATTAGCATGATGTTAATGTGAGAAATTAGAGGGCAGGGAAGTGGCTATGTTAATGTGAGGGATTAGCATGATGTTAATGTGAGAGATTAGCATGTAACTGTAGAAAAGAAGGAGAAGAAGAGCAGCCTCTTCGACGAGAGATTGCAACCCAATGGGTTTAATCCTACAGACAATGTGAGTATGAGAGTGTAATCCTATAGACAATGTGAGTATGAGAGTGTAATCCTACAGACAATGTGAGTATGAGTGTAATCTATAGACAATGTGAGTATGAGAGTGTAATCCTACAGAAAATGTGAGTATTAGAGTGTAATCCTACAGACAATGTGAGTATGAGAGTGTAATCCTATAGACAATGTGAGTATGAGAGTGGAATCCTACAGACAATGTGAGTATGAGAGTGTAATCCTATAGACAATGTGAGTATGAGAGTGTAATCCTACAGACAATGTGAGTATGAGAGTGTAATCCTACACACAATGTGAGTATGAGAGTGTAATCCTATAGACAATGTGAGTATGAGAGTGTAATCCTACAGACAATGTGAGTATGAGTGTAATCTATAGACAATGTGAGTATGAGAGTGTAATCCTACAGAAAATGTGAGTATTAGAGTGTAATCCTACAGACAATGTGAGTATGAGAGTGTAATCCTATAGACAATGTGAGTATGAGAGTGGAATCCTACAGACAATGTGAGTATGAGAGTGTAATCCTATAGACAATGTGAGTATGAGAGTGTAATCCTACAGACAATGTGAGTATGAGAGTGTAATCCTATAGACAATGTGAGTATGAGAGTGTAATCCTATAGACAATGTGAGTATAAGAGTGTAATCCTACAGACAATGTGAGTATGAGAGTGTAATCCTATAGACAATGTGAGTATGAGAGTGGAATCCTACAGACAATGTGAGTATGAGAGTGTAATCCTATAGACAATGTGAGTATGAGAGTGTAATCCTACAGACAATGTGAGTATGAGAGTGTAATCCTACAGACAATGTGAGTATGAGAGTGTAATCCTACAGACAATGTGAGTATGAGAGTGTAATCCTATAGACAATGTGAGTATGAGAGTGTAATTGTACAGACAATGTGAGTATGAGAGTGTAATCCTACAGAAAATGTGAGTATGAGAGTGTAATCCTACAGACAATGTGAGTATGAGAGTGTAATCCTACAGACAATGTGAGTATTAGAGTGTAATCCTATAGACAATGTGAGTATGAGAGTGTAATCCTACAGACAATGTGAGTATGAGAGTGTAATCCTATAGCCAATGTGAGTATGAGAGTGTAATCCTACAGACAATGTGAGTATGAGAGTGTAATCCTACAGACAATGTGAGTATGAGAGTGTAATCTATAGACAATGTGAGTATGAGAGTAATCCTACACACAATGTAAGTATGAGAGTGTAATCTATAGACAATGTGAGTATGAGAGTGTAATCTACAGACAATGTGAGTATTAGAGTGTAATCCTATAGACAATGTAAGTATGAGAGTGTAATCCTACAGACAATGTGAGTATGAGAGTGTAATCCTACAGACAATGTGAGTATGA